ATGAAGGTTGACATGGACAAGGCAGAAACTAGGCCAAGGCAGTGCGCGGGCGGCAGCGGCGCCGGGCGTGTGCGGAAAAATCATGGCAGCGGGTTGCGGGCAAGACATTGGCGCGGAGCAATGTCAAAGTGAGCTAAGGCTTGGCACAAAGCAGGCCTTGGGCGAAATTCAGCTGGCTAAGTTAGGATGGCACATGCAATGCACATGGAAGGCAGTTTTGGCAGTTACCTTGTCTTAACTTCTTTGTCCCATGATCTGATCATGCTTGTTCCATTATCCATTTCGTGTATATTGTGTCCTAAGTAGTTGGGGATGTCAACTACATGTTAGGAACAAGATTTAAACTTAGCCCGACAAGTGGCAAAAGCTGTAGACGACAAGTGTCATGTGCTGTCAAGTTTAAGGGCTGCCTATGTTCTATAAATAGGGCCTTTGGACTTAGTCAGATTGATGTGGGTAATTTCGTGTGAAATTATAAGTGGGAAACAAGAGTGAAACGTGAGGGTTTCAAAGTGTTTCAAAGGGGACTAAGGCTAGGCTTGGGCAGGTCTTAGTGTTGGCCAAGAACGACTTATGTTCTTTGCCAAAAGTGGGCTGTGAGCGGATTGTGTTCATAGCAAAGTGAGGGTCCTTTGTATGTTTTCGAAATTGATACAAGGGTTGGGAATTTTCCCGTATTGGCTTTGTGTTCTTACTTAATTTCTGATTTGCTGCCTAAAAATTCGTTAAGGCCAAACTTGCTGAAATTTGGCTAAGTGTTAAGGAAGGCTGAGTCAAGTGCGGAACTTGACTGCCGCGCGGGTGTGACTTTGGACTGACCAAAAACGCCCCCGTGACAACAACCATCAAAGAAATTCCACCCTATTAAAGAGCTGAAAGGTTTCTTTGTTTCTCGCACTGAAAACTGAACCATCAGCATGACAAACATGCTCCGGATATGTTTACTTTACCTCAAGTAATGGCACGGGATATAGACCTCGGTAGTCTGTACCACAAAAACACTAAACTTAAATGAAATCATCAATTCCAGATTTCCCACCCAGCAAACCTTCCCAATAAACATTGATATCTTGGGTCAACCCTCCAAATAGAACTCTAATGACCATCTATAATCATATATCCAAGCTGCACCTAAACTTGGAAACTTTATCTACTTATGCACAAACCACTTTAACAAACACCTCTCCTCACCAGGCAAAAGAGGAACTTAACTATTATACTTGTAGCAGCAAACCAGAGTAACTAAGGAAGAGAACAATTTTCAGGGTCATACTTTCTGATGTCTCCGCAGCTTTTCTGGAGAACTTGCCCTTTATCTCTTCGCGATCTCCAGTGGGAGTGTATCCCAAACGCTTGCTGGATATTGTTATCACTCCAGGTTCAACTTCCTGTTCTGGTATCTCGCACTTACCATTAAAAGGTTTCATGTAACAGAACCTAGAGTATGTCGAACAAGATTCACAGAACAAACTTAGTGAATATGTGGCAAATACAATTGACAAAGAACTTAGTGAAAAGTCATTATACATGAGAAAACAAGAGACACCAACAACAGCAAAAAAGAGTTAACTATTAAAATGATACTGAGCAAACAGGTAGAAGCTGACTGCAGAGTACATGACCATAATACACTTCGTCTTGCAATAAATCAGTTCTTCTATAAAGTCCGTTTTCCGTATCCTTCAAATTTGACATTTGGCCGTATAATCAGTGAAGCAGCATATTATCTGTGAATTCCAGATTCTTTATTCCTGGATAATAATTATGCGATGAGAAAGAGGACTTAATTTTTCAGAACTAAAGCAGCCTCTATATCAGATTACTCATGGATGTAAATCCGTGGTACCTACCATTAACTTGGCTCCTAGGATTAGTTAGAGGAGTCATGTTTATGTTAAATCTAACAAACATCTGTCCAGAAGTAGTCTCTGTTAAACTGTGTTTGAATGGCTTCATCTTGTAATACCGGAACTTGTACATACTTTAGCAACTTGAACATCCTTTTATTTAGAGCTCGAATATAAAGTTGAGACTTCAGTATTATTATTTTTTAAACGTGGAGCCTATAGTACTAACTTTATGAGCCAAATTCCTTGATATAAACTTGTTGAGCTTGATTTCACTGGTTGGAATTTACAGAGGGCCATTTTGGTATAGATCGGGACCATTTGCTAGTATGAGTTCTCAAATTTTTCTAATTCCAGAAATGGTATCCTTAGCGTTAACTTCTCAAACTTAAATTTCTTCATAGTACAGCTTCAGTTATTTATTTTAAGTTAGCAACACACTTGCGTACAGCTTCAACCAAATTTTTCTAATTCCAAAAAGTGGTATCTTAGTGTTAACTTCTCAAACTTAAATTTCTTCATAGTACAGCTTCAGTTATTTTTTATGGATGATGATGAGACTCAACCGCCAAATTTCTACCTACTTCTACCTACTCCAATACCATCTGATACCCTATTGAAGGGTGTAAACTGTCTAATTCAAAAGTTTTGTTAGAGTGCGAACACTTTTATTTACTTTTAGAAGACGTATGCTACCACTCGGATTTAAGATCTGCAATAGTCTTGATTTACAGAGCAAATGTATCCGATTGTATTGTTCAAGGGTTTTAAACTATCAGAAGACTTCTGAAAATTATGATCACATGGAAACATTCTTTACAAGAGAACAATTCAGTGCTTGGGGTGAGAGAAAGACCCCGACATATGAGAACATCAATTGTGGATAAGACTTCTAGGATTTATTTTGGATAAATCAAGTTAAGATTCTTAGAGAGACGCTAGTTTTAAAAGTGAAAAGTTCAAAAATGTAGCAAGGTCCGTGGGGCTTGAAGCGATAAGTGAGAAGGTAAATGCCGATATTAATCCAACTCCTCAAAGTTGAAACCCAAATAACCGACCACCTTTTCTTTGGATCACTTTGCGCGTCATTGTTTGAAGTGCACATTTCTCCAAAGTATTCACCCATGACGCTACAACCCCTCGCTTCACATTGCTTCATCGCTCTAAGCGATAAAGCCATAGCTTTTAGCAACACTGCTAGAGAAGCTCTATTTTAGGTCATATTACTCAAGTTAGTTGGGGGAAGTCAGAAAAGACTCTTACCACTGAAGTGGTAAACTCTTGCTGTTGAAGCCATGGCTCAACATTCTCCACTTTCTGCATTTGTCACACTGCACCCACTCGTGGTCAGGTTTGTAGACACCGGTACCCGCCTTCTGTAAGAGAGGAAAAACCCTGTTAAAAATTGGTGAGAATGTCATCTTTGCAAAAAATGAACCATGAACTTTACACCTAAAAAATGCAATAGAAAGGCTACAGAAAAGCTAAAAAGAGATATAGAGACCCCTTCTCCAACTGCTT